GGAGCGGAGTGCGGAGGGTATCAGCACGAGGCGGGGGCGGAGCTCGGAGAGAGCGGCGCGCGGCGCAAATTGGCGGGCGGAGGGACCCGCGCTCGAGAGCAGTTAGCGCGCGAGGGGGCGGTGCGCGGAGGGAGCAGTGCGCGAGGCGACTTGGCGCGAGGAGGGGGCGGTGCTCGGAGGGGGTGGCGCGCGAGGGCAATTGGCGCGAGGAGGGGCGGTGCGCGGAGGGAGCAGTGCGCGAGGCGAATTGGCACTTGGAGGGGGCGGAGCTCGGAGGGAGCGACGTGCGGAGGCAATCGGCACGAGGAGGGGCGGTGCGCGGAGGGAGCGGAGTGAGCAGAGTGAGCAAGGACTCAGCACGAGGAGGGGGCGGAGCTTAGAGAGAGCCGCACGGCGCCTACTCATACGCTCCGCGGACTCGCTTCGCGGCATTCGGTCCTCAGACGCCGAAGAGTTCGCAGCTATGGCAGACTCTGGGGTGAGCACCGTGACGCCCGAGGAGGAGACCAAGCCTGACTGGAAGACCCTGCAGATCTTGCGAGACATGGCTAGTCGCCTGCGCATCCATTCTATCAGGGCTGCCTGCGCTTCGAGCTCCGGGTAAGGTTCCCCCGTCAGAGGCATCGTGGCGGCCGGCGCGTGAGGTGTAAAGAGTAGTTGGGAGGTGGGCGGGCGGGCTCGGTCGTAGAGGCCCCGTTTGGGGCCGCGGGGGGAGCATGGACGGGCCCGCGTGGCCGGCGGGTCTGCGCTGGGGGAGGGAACGGCTCCCGTGGTCTCTCCCGTTGAGTAGCAGGCAGCCCGGAATCTTTCGGGCCCGGCGGGGAGGCGTCCTGTGGACGGCCTCGGGCCCGAGTGGGAAGGGGGCGTGCGGCCGTAGCGTTGTGTGTGGGCAGCTGCCCTCGACGCCGGCGTCCCGGACTCGAAAGCGAAGGCGGCGGGTGAGTGGGAATGGCCGCCGAAGGCGGCTTTCCGGTCCCCTGGCGTGTGCCAGGACGGTCGGGTTCGTGCGGTCGCGGTGTGGTAGCTTTTCCGTGAGGCGCGCGGGCGGCGGGACGGTTCGCGTTCCCTGGGGGCCGTGCTCGTGCTTGAAATTAACCCGTGAGGCCGTCGGGGCCCTGTTTTCCTGTGCAGAGAGGTTTTTGACTCCTGGGTCAGGCTTATTAGTCACGGGCGTATTTCAAATCTCTACTTGGCCCTTAGGGTTCTTGAATTTTCTGCTTCTAGAAGTTTCTCGGCTGGTAGCCGATTTGTACAGTTCTTCGTAGTATCGTCTCTTCCCTTTTACGTCTGTGTGGTTGGTAGTACTGTTTTTGCCTTCGTTTTAGAAATGAAGCTGGTGTTTTCGAATCAGTAAATTTCAAAGTTAAAATGTCTTCGTTTTAATTTTGGTCATGTTCTTAAACAACTACCTTTTGTTTTCATTGATCTGTTCTACCGGCTTTCTTGGTCTCCATTTCTGTTCTAATTTTTTATTTTTGCTCTAATCTTTATTACTCTTGTAGATTTGGGTTTAATTTTGCTAGTTCTTATGTTGTAAAGTAAGGGCTTTGATTCTTTGATCTTTAGGTCTTAAGGAAAGCATTCATAGTTGAAAATTTTTTATATGGCTTTTGTGTCCCATAAAGTTTGGTGTGCTGTTTTCATATTCCAGGTATTTTTTTTAAGTAAAAAAAAATGGGGGG